GAATAAAGCCACACTTGCCCACTTTTTGGCTCAGTTTGCTTGGACAATGTTTTTTACTCTAAGCTGGTTTTTCTACTGCTGTGTTACTGAATAAGTTATGTATATCTTTAGTTTACATTTCTTCTCTTTCTATTCCCATGATTCACAGGTTTGGTCTTTTGATTCATGCTGTTCAATTAATATTCCTTGAGTATTTTTTCAGCATCTTTGTCTGATCAATCTAATTTCTCTACTTTATATTTAATCCTTGATACTCTATTTTCAAACTGCTCTTCTGTGTTATCCAGACTTTTGTTTGAGGTTTTTATTTGGGATATTGAGATTTCGTTTTCAAGGTTTCAATTTGATTTTTTCAGGATTTTTCTATCTTTATTGAATTCCTCTGTCATATACAGCATTGTCTTCTTTATTTCTTTCAGCCATTTGTTTAAATTCTCTTTTAAATCAGTTTTTATGTGTCATTTTTAAAATTTATTCAGGTGTTTATCCATCTCCTATTTGAATTCATTGATCATTCTTGTCACTGTATATTTGAAGTCATCAATTGATATTTCTTTCTCTTAGTATTGTTTAAGTCCTTTATTGTAGAGTTGTTGGCTTTTGAAGGAGAGGTGTTGCCTTGTTGCTTTATGTTTCTTCATTGAGATTTATATGTTTGGGGTCATTTTGTTTGGAGGTTCCAATACCCTGTGCCTCTTCAGTTGGGGATTCCTCAAAGATTAATTAGCACTAGGTATTGGCTCACTTGTGGTGTAGTCTCTTGTCACACACTTGTGTATGTGTAACTCAGTAGTCAAGCATTTAGTTTCAGTTCCTAAGATGAGGGGTACTGGCACTTACTCCACAGCAGGAGAGGAAGCTTAGCTGATGAAGCTCTCACAGTTGATAAATCACAATCTTAAGGTTATAGCAATTCCTAAAGAAGATTAATGTTTGGTACTGCTCCAGATATCTGATCTTCAGAGGTGTACTGGAGCAAAGATGAATCTTTGTTATCTAGGAAGTCCCAAGGGAATAGGGTGGTAATAGGAAGATGGGGGTATTACTCTAATGAATATATGGTTTTTGTAAGTCAGAAAGAGATAATAGAAGGGGTTAATGTGAAATTAGAGTGAGATAGGTAGAAGAGATCTAATTAATATTGTGTTGATGGAGAGAAGAGGTTAGAAAAATGTAGAAAATCAGACAGGCAAACATAAAGAAAATCAAAACGAGGTGATCTGGCAATTTATTTACTCACTAAAACTGTAGGCAACAAAGAAGATTATGTCTGGTTAAATATACATAGAAGAAAATATGATCTAGATAGCAGTCCTAGCTGTAGATTAGGGGAAAGTATAAATGAGAAAAGAAGAGCAATAGTAAAGTGAAGGAGAAGACATAGTTTAAGATTTAATACTGAAAAGCAGGTTTTCTGGGTCTCATATGATGACTTCAGAGTAAAGGAAGAGAGGGAAAAACAGAAGTGAAGAGAAAGTAGGAGAGCGTTCAAAATTATCAAACTCAAATGTGTAGAAATAAAAACAATTCAAACACATAAAAAATCTGAACATCCAAAATTTAACAGTAACAGGAAATAATCAGCATAAACATTCAGAATTTTCTAATGCTCTCCTGAGAGGGCATTTTTCCCCTCTCAGTGTCCTAGTCTTTAAGTCCACTAGATGGTAGTCTAGACAGACATCTGACTTTAAATGCTGTGTGACCACAGGCCTGTGCTGCTTTTTCAGTGGAGTGGGAGAGTATGTGGGGGTTAATCTGAATATAATCTGTGGTGAAGACTTCTGGAGTTTGGGCCCTGAACTTGACAGTTTCACTTCATCCCCCTTAAACTTGTAGTTTTCTCTGCTCCCATTCTCTCTGCTACTTACAATCTGTTATGTACTTTGAGTGCAGTCTTGTCAAATTTCTGCTCCAGTGACATGCCTCTGAAGTGGGTTGGGAAGCTCAGCATCACAGCTTCCATTAGAGATGCTCACCACTGAAATTTCTTAGATTGGGTTGTTTCAGACAGCACTTCCTCTCCTGTCCTAAAGCTCTCTCCTTTGTTGAGTGGGTAATTATATTCAGATGGGTCTGCTGCCTGTGTTTCTCTCACTACTTTCTCTGCCATGTTATAGACCATGTATGGGAACCTCCACAGCATCTGTGCTAGTCCCACAGTGACATTTCCATCCTGGGCTGTCCACCACTGTGGCTTCTATGGCCAGGCCACGTGCCAGACCCTTAGCTGTGTAATGGGTTTTTTTGTCCCAGGTCACACTCTCCAGGCTTCTTTGCCCTAAGCTGCACTCTGGGTTTCTTTTTCTCGGCTGTGCACTACAGGTTCTCAGCACCAGCCACCCATTATTGCTGCATAGATCCTTGTTATAGGCATTTATGGGTGCCCTTGAGATACTGGTGGTTTCAAAACTATTTTACCACTAGCAACAACCCCAGTGGTTCTTGTGAGATCAACTCCTGTCTCTGGTTTGCAGGCCTCCTGTCCTGGAATGAGGGGGTAAGGTGCTCCTTCAGATTCTTAGTTTCCATGAAAAATCCCAGATAGTTGAGGTCACACACATGAAAAGTATTTCAAGGTATCTCACCCACAAACAAGGAGAGTCTCATAAGCTGGAAGTTGAGCAAGGGTCTGTTTTAGTGTAATGGGGTAAAAGTGAGAAAAATTTCAAAAGAGAAGTACCTCTTGCTAGAAGTGCAGAGGTAAGAGAGAAACAAAAGAAATTGGCCCTTTTGTCATTTTTCTGAATTCTTAAGAACTTTTTGTCTATTAGCCTAAGCTGACTGAGCAATAGTAAATTAATTAAATGAAAGCAACTTGAACTCACTGGAGTAATCACAAAACAAAACTGTAAAATTTAACAAGAATCTAGAGATTATGAGAACTATTAGAAACTGATTTGGTAATTTATTCATTATTCATAATCTTGTCCTTGGAAATCGGGAACTTCTTTAAACCACATATTGTTTGTCTCTCATATTATGTAACCTTGTATTTCCTAGGTGAACATTGAAACTGCCTATGGGAATTTATTTTAATATTTTATGCCTAACAATAATAAAGTAAAATAAGGGGAGATCATCTTCATTAAATGGAAGAATTGAAATACATATTCGACCTCACATACTTGATGCTAATAATACTTCTGTGTCAATAACACGTTTTGTATGTTCAATATTCTGAGTTGTCAGTTATATCCATTTGATTAATAATGTTTTTAATTTTTTTCTTTTGAGACAGGCCATTGCTATGTAGCTTAGGTTGGCCCTGAACTTGTGATCCTCTTTTCTTCAGTCTTGTAAATGCTGGGACTTCAGCAGCACAGTACCACACCTGGTATGATATTTTAATTTTTCATTTTTCTGTACTTTGCACATAGTATTAATTTTAGAATTTATTTCTCAAATATACTTTCAGAATACCCAAACCTGAATTCTGAACTCTGTTATTGGTACTGCTTTTTCCTTTGTACTCATCTTTACATTTTAGTAAGAAATGTAAAAATTTTCTGACTTTATGTTCTGTTGGCCCTGGAATAATTATTCATGTGGTTTCTTGAAAAGTTCAGATGGTTCCTCCAGAGAGTTTTTCACTTGGTAGTTTATCAATAAGGTCATCTTAGACCAACGCCAAGATTAATGAATCATAGAACTCTCCATTCCATGAAGAAAAAATTGTCAGTGTTGGCTTGAATCATTACTTCTTGAGGAAATTTTTATTAAAATTTTTAATTAGCGTACATTTGCTGTAGAAGAGGGATTCATTGTGACAATTTCAAATAGGCTCACATTATACATTGGTTAGATTTCCCCTACCATCACTGCCCCTCAAGCCGAACCCACTCCAGTTAAAGCAATGTCAAAATCTTTCATTGTTCTGTTTCTTATAAGTATATGAAGTCCATCAACCATATTCCTTCACCTTAATCTCCCCCCACTGTAAGTCCTGTCTTTTGTTATTAATTTCTAAATTGATGTTCAAACGTTTTCTTGATGTGTCCCCTGTGTGAGTATACTTTATTTTGATCAAATCAACCCCTTTCATTATTTTCCACTACCTCTTCCCTCCCACTCCCAATCTTTCAACAACTTTCAGTAAATATCCTCTATCTTCAGGAAATCCTTTTTTTTCTCTCTCAACTTCCCAATTAATTTAGAGCCCTCTTTTCACTTTCTGTAGGTGTTGGAATGATACATTCCAGCTTCTGTATTTTCACTGTTACTTTGAGATTAGGGACCTTTGACACAAGCTTAAATTAGTGTACAACAAGATTCCTCACAGAGTGAATTCTATGCCTGTCTTTGCTTCTCTGGCCCATACATAGCTTGGACTCTTGACCTCAAGTGTTTGCAATATTCTTAAATGGTCAGGATAACGGTGGCTTTGGAGCTGGGAAAGTTTATAGTCACAGGTAATAAAAATTGGCCCAAATTCATCACTTTCTTTTTGTACTGTCCCTTTTATGCTTTTCCTCTCTCTCTTTCAGTCCTTCCTTTCTTTGTTTTTATATTCCCTCCCTCCTTCCCTCCCTCCCTCCCTTCCTTCTTTCCTTCCTTCCTTCTTTCCATCTTAATTTCCTTCCTTTCTCTCTCCCTCCCTCCCTCACACCATCCCCTGTGCTTTTTCTTTCTTTGTTGATGTTTTTTTCTAAGTTTTTATTTCACTAGTATTATCTAACTGAGATATTTCACCTGTCATTTCTGCAAAACTCAATCCATTTAAGTATTTTTTTAAATTTTAAACTGATACCCTTCATTAGAGCATCAAGTGGTTTGTGGTTTAGCACTTCTAAGTTGACTTCTGTGTCTTTCCTAGTTGCACAACTACCCTCTTGTGATATTTTTAGTTTTTAATTTGCATCAGATACTTCACAATCTACTTCCCAGCCAAACTGCTTTCTTAATTTTTGTTTGCTTTGCAAAGATCCCTCCAGGCTCAGTCCAGCTGCTCAGATTTTATAAACGAGTTTTTTATAGTAAAAATTGAGTTGCATCAGACAGGCAGGGGAGGAAGATGGTGTCACAGATTCAGGTCCTCATGTCCCTGTTGCTCTGGGTCTCTGGTGAGAAATTTAAGAATGTCACAGTTCTTCAATGTAATATTTTTGTAGAGATAAAAATGATAAAATGTACATGGATATAATGACTATTTTCTGTATGAACCCGATAATACATTGACATAACTCCACAAGAAATGACAATTTAAATGACATATTTCAATATTTATATTATAGAGTCTATGTATGTAGGGAAATATGATCATTATCCTTTCTTGATTGCAGGTGTCTGTGGGGACATCACAATGACTCAGTCTCCAGGCTCCCTGGCTACATCTGTAGGAGAGAGAATCACCATCAATTGTAAGTCCAGTCAGAGTCTTTTATCCAGCTCCAACCAGAAGAACTACCTGGCTTGGTACCAGCAGAAAAAAGGACAGCCTCCTAAACTTCTCGTCTACAGGGCATCCACCCGGGCATCTGGGGTCCCTGACCGCTTCAGTGGCAGTGGGTCTGGGACAGATTTCACTCTCACTATCAGCAGCCTCCAGGCTGAAGATGTGGGAGATTATTACTGTCTGCAGAGTTACAGTGCTCCTCACACAGTGCTTCAGCCTTGAACATAAACTTCCTCTCAGAGACTCATCAGCTTCTTGCTGCCACACTACCTCCATCTGCATGATAGCCTGTATTGAGAAGGCTTGCAGTACAAAAGAAAATAAACTGCTCAGTGTCTCTTAAATCCTTTAGTATGGAAGGTACATATAAAGAAATATAGGAATGAACATCAGTTAGTTTTCTATTTATTCTGTAACTGTTTATAGAGATCATCACCTCTTTGGCTTGATGCTGAGAAATTGATCATTTTACTGTTCTAGAGGTCAGAAGTCCAACACTAGATTCAATGGGCTAAAATCATTTGGCAGGCTACATTACTATTGGGAGGTTCTAGGAAAGCATGTCTCTTGCCATTTCCAGCTCTTAGTGGTTTCCTGCATTCATTGGGGTGTGGGGGGGTGGGCAGTCCTTTTCTCCATCTTCAGAGTAAAAAACTTATCAGATCTAACCTTATACCAGGACCATGTCTACCTATCAGCTTTCCAAATATAGACACTGAGAAACCTTATTACATAGTAATATTGGATATGGTTTTGTGTTCAATAGACTTTTCCTTTCAGGCTTTATAGCTCATATTTTTAAATAGGATTCAGTGTTTGGGCAAGGTAAAACTTGGTGTCTCCATGGAGACACACATGATAGCTAATCCCATTCTTATATTCATTTAAAATAGTAATGGAGCACCTAATGTGGTGCATGAAATATAACAGGGAATAAGAGTCTCATAGGCCTCTCAAAATTGTTTGAGCACTCCATAGCATCTTAAAGCTGTCTACATGTGAAATAGCTCTTCATAACTTGCTTAATGTGCCCATATGTGACACAGATATGTCAAATATTTACCATGAACTGGTACTTGTTGATAAGGATTATACCATGTGTCTTATTCAGGGTGTTCTCTACTGTGACAAGTTAAAGGAGAGAGTATTTGTTCTAGCTCACAAAAAATCCTGCAAGGTTCACTCCATGGTTAACTAGCTTCACTGCTTTTAAGTGTGGCTACTCAGAAACATCATGGTGGAAGGCAGTGGTAGAAGAAAGCTGCTCACCTCATGACTGCAGGGAAGCAGAGAGAGACTGGAAGCATCCTGGGACGAGAAATAGTCTTCAAAGGCACACTTCCAGTTAACCGTCTTTTTGAAAGACCCCACCTCCAACTTTCTACCATCTCCTAATCCATCAAATTGTACATTCATGAATAGATTGATCTACTGATTAGGTCAGTGTCCATATGATCCAATCATCCTTCACTGATTAGATCTGCCAGCTAGGCACCAAACCTTCAGCACTTGAGCTTTTTAGGGGACACTTCACATAAATCATAACACCAAAATATGTATAGTGGAATAAGATCCAGAACATTATCTATAATTAGAACACAAGTAAACTTTGAAGAAAAGGCATAGACAATTTTAAATTTTAGAATTTCTAATTCTAAAAGTATTGGAAAACTCCACTCCACTTTTCCTTGGTGTAAGATAATAATCAAAACAATTTTGTGATACCCTGCATCAACCCAAACTTTGTATTTGGCATCTGAAACATCTGGGGCTTTTATCAAAGGTACAGGCAGCAATGTGGTTCTGGTCAGTTGGGGATATCTCAGGTCTTCCCTGTTCCTTACACAGCACTTTGCTCAGAGTTCTGTCAAGTGTCATGAGCCATGGTCATGAAGATTGGAGGGACAGACTATTTGAGGCAGACTAGCAAACAGGGAAAACAACCTACTATGGGACTTCTCTTAGTCAACCTGATATCTGCATGCTAGAATGTTTTACTCTCCCTAGCACCACTTTGAACCATCTTTACAGTAATAAATTTTCTATAAGTTGTAAGTACTCTGGCTGTTATAAATATATTTGTGAGCCTTGTGTAAAAGGGCCATCTCTGAGCCTGGCTTGCCTGGTAAAAAAAATGCCTGCCCCCAATTTGACCTATCAAGCCAAGTTCTCTTCTTATGTCCCTATGAATATTGGTTGCATCTCATGTATACAATTATAGGCTAAAAATTAGCATAAGCACATTTGCAGAATACCCCATGTTATTTGATAAGGCTGTGTTAATTAAATTTGCCAGTCACCCTATCCAATCTCTAAGCTCTGCCCAGATATTTCCTGCCTTACATCTTATAAATTGGTCTTTAAACAAAGACGTCAGTGCTTGGGTGTCACATAGCACAAGCTCACCATTTGTCTTGTGGTGCTTTTTCTTACTTTTCCTTTCCTTTTCTTTCATAAAGCTTTGCAATTTGTGTCTCTGTTCAGTTCTCTGTTCACCTGAACTAAGAACTTGGGATCTTCTGAAATAGTATCTTCTTAGACCACTCAGCCCAGTAATACATGACCTTCTTCAAAGCTAATCTGCTCCTGTGTGTATTTTTGTAAAGTGGAATTCAGCCTTGATTGTGTTGTGTATGGACACATATCAGGATAATATCTGTGATAGAAAAAGGGTAGAGCTTTACCACAAAATACCCAAAACCAGAGATTTCACCATCATCTTGGCCATGAACTTATTGTGAAGACAAATTCTTCTACTTAGATTTCTGTTCCCCTCTTAACATGTGACACATTGATATCTCTACTAGGTTTCTAGTACATAATAACAAATGGCCATTAATTTAGCAGCTCATTAGTCATCAGGCTGTGTCTCAGAAATTGAGGAACAGTATCACTTGGTTCTCTGCTCACAGCTCCTGGAAGCTACTCCCATTCCTTAAAACGTGGCTTTTACATCTCCCAAGTCAGCATTGGGAATCTCCCCCCATCTGATCCTCTTCATGTTCTGAATCTTCCAATTTCCCTTTCTATGTCTCTAGATCCAGATTTTCAGGGCTCTGTGATTAGGTCAGAACTACTCAGGTAATTTCCCTAATGTTACCTTATTTCATCATGTCTGCAAAATGCTTTTACTGAAGAAACTGAATTATGTTTTACTAAACACATGGGAGAAGGTGTGTTGATTTTTTGACCAGCAAACTTAGACGTTTGTCTATATAAAATCATTATTTGTAATTTACCAAATACAGATATGGTATCATATGGTTATTTGGAACTAGTTATTATTCAGAGATTTCAATTCTTACCCATGCAAATATGGGTAACAAAGACTATGTATGGTTAAGTAGGAGAAAATGTGATCTAGAGAGCAGTCCTGGTTGTAGATGGGAGGAAAGTATAAATGGGGAAGGGTGGTAAGAAAGAGAAGGACAATATACAGTTTAATATTTAATACAGAATTTTCTCATGGATCTCAAATAATGACCAGAGAAAAGGAAGAGACTGAAAAGGAGAACTAAGGAGAAAATCGTTGAAAGAGAGTGCAAACTTACCAAACTCAGATGCATAGAAAGAAAACAATACAAACACATAGAAAATGTGAACATCTAAAACATAACAATCGCAAAAACAAATTAGCTTAAAAATTTAGAAATTTCTCTATTTATGTGGTACTAGGGCTGAACTCTGGGCTTATACCTTGAGCCACTCCACCAACCTTATTTTTGGTTAAGGAGTTTTTCAAAATAGGGTCTCACAAACTATTTGCCTAGTTTGGCTTTGAATCACAATCCTTCTGAAGTAGCTAGAATTACAGGCATGAGACACCAGTGCCCAGCAAAATTCAGAATTTTCTTATGCTCCCCCAAGTAGGTATTCTCTCACCCCACCCAGTGTCAGAGTCTTTCAATCCACTAGATGCCAGTCTTGTCTGATACTTGACTCTGGAATTGTGTTTGTTCAAAGCCTTGTATTCCTTTTCCAGTGGTATGGTGGGATGGGGAGAATTTCATGATCTGAATACAATCTGTGATGAAGGTCTGGAGTTTGGGCCCTCAACTTGTCAGTCTCGCATCATTCCCCCTAAACTTGTAGCTTTCTCTTTTCCCAAGCTCCTGACTACTTACTACTCTTGTAATCTGGGTTCGTTCCTTTGTCAAATGCTGCTCTGGTGACATACCTCTGATGTGGGTTGGGTAACTCAGCAAGGCAGCCCCTGTCAGAGATGCTCACCACTGAAATTTCTTAGATTGACTTATGACTGGCAGCAGTACCCCATTGGTTCTCAGGCTCTATCCTTTGTTGAGTAGTGAATTATATTCAGATGTTTCCATTGCATGCATTCCTCTAACCACTTTCTCTGCCACATTACAGACCATTTACTGGTCCCTCCACAGCCTCTGTGCTTGTGTTAACTGGCAAGTCCATCGTTTGCTGCCTATAGTGGCTTCTTTGCCCCAGGCCATGTGCCAGACCCTGGGCTGTGCACTGGGTTTCTTTGTCCCAGGCCACACTCTGGGGGATTCTTCTTTTTCCTAAGCTGCACTCTGGGTTTCATTGTCTCAGGCTGAGTACTGCAGTTTTTGTTTGCTCTAGTCACCTATTACTGATTATAGGCATGTTTTTGCAGTTTTTGTTTGCTCTAGTCACCTATTACTTATTATAGGCATTTATGGGTGCTCTTGAGAAAGGGATGGTTCTAAAACTATTTGCTCTCTGGAAACACCCTCAATGTTTCTTGTGAGAGTCAAATCCTGGCTCTTGCTTGCCAGCATCCTTTCATGGGATGAAAGGGTAAGGGAACTTGTTCAGATTCCCAGTTTCCATGAAAATTCCCATGGAGTTGATCTCATAATTTTGCTTGGAATTTATATTTCAATTATTTTAAAGCTGAGATGACACCTAGAGTTTAAAAATTTTTTATTTCTATTTGCCTCTCTGTTTTTATGGTCCATTATCTCTACTTTCTTGGATTAGTTTGTATTATTCAGTTTTAATTCTAATTTTTCTTGTTTACTTGTTAATTATGAACTCATTTCAATCTAGCAGACATTCTCAACTTATATTGCTTATGTTACTAAGTATGCATTGGGTACAGTTCAGTTCTAGAATACATACTCAGCACACCCAAGGTCCCAGATTTGATCTCTACCACTATGAAAAATTAAATTTACCACATGGATGAATGAATTAAATCTTTTGAATATATTTAAGTACTTTACATG